ATGAGAATGTTTTTGGGAAACGGCGAGTACCTTCTGCGCTTCCCAAATATGGGCATTTTCCCATACCGGGGCTTACGGCCAATTTTAATCACGTGCACTTTATGACATTTCAGTGAAAAAAGCCAACGCACAGAAAGGCAAATTGTCATGTGTGATGAATAAGATTTACTGATCATTAACAATCCAGCTTGTTTGTTTTAAGCAAAGTGTGCACAGAAGTTAGGGATAGCCCAAACAACACCTAGAAAGGGTTGATGATGCGTGTACTGTGAAAAGAACTCAAAAAAATTCACTCCCAGTTTAACGAACTCCCGATATAACGAACTGTTTTCTGGTTTCCTTCAGAGTTCGATATATCGGGATTCCACTGTATTGTAAATCTATTTTTTATGTCTTTTAGTTATTATTATGGATTTGCTTTTTTTGTTATATTGTAAATTAAATGGAGGGCCCCTTGTGAACCAGCATTTGTTAAAGGGCTACCCTCTTAAATTATTTGAAAATGTAAAAATTGAAATGACAGGATTTTTTGTAGGTTTTCCTTGAAAGAGATGAAGGTGGACCACACCGAGGCTGTGAGAGGCTGATGATGGTAATTGTTCATTTCTCTTCTTTTCTCAAATATCAGCATTCGATTGTTTTGCCCATTTTTAGCCCTTCCCCATAGAATTTTTTTCACAATTCGATTCATTATGCTAAAAAAATTGGTAGTATTTGTCCCCGTGCTAGTGTATCAAACTTCCGTCTTTATATCAGGCAACAATTTGACACAACTTTTGAAAGCCCATTTTCACTTGGCATTATATAATGTTTGGAAAAATACGAGTGTTTTCTCTTCATAACCATTGCTAACAGCGGTTTTACAGATGAACTGAGTGTTTATCTGTTTTACTATGTAAATGTTTTACAGCAGTTTTTGACATTTTAGAATATAAAAGATGGAAAATTCTATCGCTAAATTCTATCGCTAAATTCTATCGCTAAATTCTATCGCTAAATCTATCGCTACCCCGTTGCATGCTTATTTCCAGTTCTTGCCCCAGCTTGAACAATATAACGTCATTCTTCTAGTGAAGACCTGTTTTATTCTTTCTTATCGTTTTGCTTCCTTTATCCTCTCTTGAGCTTTTACCATTAGCAGAAATGCCGTAGCTCGCTTTTTTAGAAGTTCATTTTCTAGATTCGGCGAATTTATAGATTGTGATTAATGATACAACTACATACCATCAATGCAATTTCACTAGAAACATGTAATAATTATTTTCAAAGTACAATTTTGAAAGTGGATCAACACCTAGTCCGGCCTATGATATTGTTCAAACAGCGTCAGGTGAGCTGAATTTTTCATTCGTCCTTTGTTCATTATTCCTGTAAACTACAAATCCTGTGCTTTTTCTGTCGAATGTTGTGAAAATAACTGGTCATTTATTGCATGGTTTTCTGTTTGTTAACCTCACGAAATACTGTAGAACTATTTTTGATGCTCTTTTTGTCTTTGACAAAAGTGATTTAATCACACCAGAAAGGAATTAGAGATTTAATTAGCTCAGTATGAAGGGAAAGTTTTACTCAGCCCTTCACATTGATGAAAAAACATAAAAGTGAGATACAACTTCACAATTGGATAAAGATGCTTTCAAATCAGGTTTGTGGTCGTAAATTGAAGGTTTCCTTTGATAATCGCTCCTAATCAAGGAAAGGCATAACCTGGGTGCCAGAGCCTCCATAATTTTGCCTCAGAATATTGTTCGAAACTAGTGACATCCCACAATTCTCTTGTATCCAGGGTAGAAAAGGCACCATATCAGTTATTTTTTAATGCCATTGTGTACACAGAATGAGTACATATAGCAGTGGTGGGGGACCCTGTAAGTAAGTAATTTAGTAAGTAAGTAACCAACGAAGTGAAACGGTTTCAGTAATAGAATGCTATCCGAAGAATTAAAATTTTCCTCTAATTAGTGTCCCGCTTTCTATTGCTTGCGGCTGCGAAATGATGTTGATTCAACTTCATCAGCAAGTCAATTTTGCAAACTTTTATTTTGGCCGTGCCAAAAGAGAAGTTGGCACAGTTTCAGAGGAAGCTGCAGCACACAATTCAGCAATTGTGCACTCGTACAATTGAAGAAAGAGCTTTTGTGGAAATTAGGGTTTCCTATTCGATAAAGTTTTCAATTATTAACAAAGCTGTTTGATAACGCTGAAACAATCTCCATGAAAATTTTCCCAAATCATTGGTTGAATTGCAATTAGCTGTTTTGTCAATGGAACAGTGCCTAGATGGATGTATGTCATAAAAAAACTTCAAGAATCTGCGACGCAGTTAAAATATTCACCTTCAAAATCTTACTACAGTGATTACAAGCCACTTTTTCTAACTATAAAACTTCGAATGAAACAAAAAACTCTTAAAGTTTGCGACATCTGTGCATAATCATGAACTATTGTAAATGAATGCAAATAGTTGTGGACCAGCAATAATCACCATTAAGCAGTATTAATAATCGTGAATCATTATGAGTCATCGAGAATCGTCATGAGTCTAAATAAATCTGCAAAGGTTATCGTGGATCAGCTCAAACAATCATGAATCATTGTAAAACGGAATCCCGTAAAAACTCTATTAAGCCCTCTCTCTGTGAAGCCAAATTACCATGCCAAAATTTAAAATAAGGCACCCCTCTCCATTAAGACCCCACTCTAGCCCCTGATGCCAAGCAAAGAAAACATGCGCATTGAGTGGTTCTTTTGAGGGTTCAGGGTTGCCTTGTGCGCCTTAGAAGTCAAGAGGATACTGATGTTGATTATTTCGAAGAAATCCAAGAGCATTGTAGCATTTTTATGTTATGTTTTATTTTGAATAATTAATAAGTCCTGCTCGCAAATAAGCTCCCCTTTCAAATAAGCCTCTCTCTAGGACTGAAAAAACAAATAAGCCCCCCCCCCCCCCCCGGGTCTTAATAGAGCTTTTATGATAAATCAAAACAAATCAGCCCGAAAGATCGTACTCCACCGTCAATGACAATGTCAACGAAAGTAAATTCTCGCCGAGACCCTGTATTCTGATATTGTTTCTTTATAAACCTCTTCATAGAAAAGCCCAATCCGTCTTGCTACCGCTCTTTTCTGAGCTCATATTACGTACCAGACATCTTCTTCGTACATAGCCATTGGGCCCCTATTTTTTTAATGGAATCAGCCAAAAGTATCGATTGTCCTTTCTTGTGGCCGACATTTTCTTGACATTGTTACTCTGTGGTCAAGAATAGGCAGGGGTTGAAATAAGCAGGGGTCCCCATTTATTCCCAACTTCAGAGTAAGTACAATTCTAAAAGAATTATGAGTAAAATTTCATACAAAAAAACAGCGAGCTAGACAGACTTCAGCTAGACAGAAGCAAAAGAACAGCTCTCAGTGACTGCAGAGTGGCGAGGATTTTTGTTTTGGCAAAAAAGATGAGAGCATGTTTGGTCAAGACATTAATTCCAGGGGTTGGGGCACTCAAATATACTTAGGGTAGGGGTGCTTAGGCTATAGTACAAACCATCAACCCCAAGCAATTATTTTCTAGCATAAAAATTGACCCAAAAAAGTAATTTTTCTTGAGGTGCACAAGAAATCTATCAAGCAGTTTTTCTCTACTTTTTAAAGGTTTTTTTCTTATATTATTTCGCTATATTATTTCGCTACTGCCCAATTTTAATAATGATTTCTCTATATCCTTTAATTTTCATTTTAGATTCAGAAATTCCCTTGTATAGTCATTCCTTAAATCAAAATTGCTGGCTGAGCAGTGAAGATGTAGTCATCATGCAAACAACTTTCAAAGCCAGTCAGGTACTTTCAATTTAAGGTAATTTGATAATAGCAAGATAAAATAAGAGGCCACAGCTGGGTGATTTGTTTGCCAAAAATGTCTGGTAATTCAAATCTAAAAATTCTCCCTTGTGTAATCAAGAAAATCTTCATAATGAGCAAAATTAAAGGGTGGGCGTCCAGAGTGAGCTTAGGCATTTCAAGGTAGGACGCTGACGAGAATTAGGTGATGTTTCACCGCAGATATTTTACACACGGTTAACATTTTTTATTTAATCCCTTCACAAAGGTATTGCACCAACTTGTTCGAAATGGCGGCGCATTTTTTAACTTTTCAACCATACGAAACATTTGAATGCATTATTTGGGCGAAATTGGCGTGCTTCATGGAAAACTTTGGCGGGAATTCTTGAGTATCTTTCTGGCATCATTGAAAACATAATTTGAAATGTATTCATTAGGCAAGAAACTTTTTATTGAAGAAATATATAACATGCCTAAACAAGAAAAAAATTCAAATGAAGGGCGAGTCGATATGAAATATTTACGGGAAGAAGACTTTTATTTTCGAAAAATTGTTCAGCAAGTCAGATTTTTTTGTTATTTCTTTATTAAAATTTGGTACAATCTCTAGCTATTCTCAAGGTAATCAAAGCCAAAGTATTTAAGTTACCAACGCTAAATATAATGTAAATCAAATATAACCGATGTTGAATATGTATTCTCTGCAAAGATTGCAAGTACAATTTAACAATGAGAATTCTGAGATTTTTTCCTGGAATATTTGTAAAGTTGGGGAGCATTTTATTTTATTTGTAACTGAGTTCCATATTTGGATACATCCGTATGATACGGTATTAAATAGATAAATTTTGAAATGTGGCTCCACTGTTTTAAATTGGGAGTTTCTTAAGTAATATGAGTATTCATTTATGGAAAATATCTCATCCATGAAAGGTGGATTCAAATTATTAAATGTTTTATAAATTTCCATCGCAAAATATTATAAATTTTTCTTATGAGAATTCATTGTTTTATTCTTTTCTCCATAGTCAATAGAAAGGAGGACTGGTCTGGAAGCCTATTGTTCTCTCTCTTTTGTTTTCTTTGTTTGCGCTTTAGAAACTCGGCGATCGGACAAAATCCAGTCACGTGGTCAAACTGAGTGCAAGTTGTTTTTTAAAATGGCGTTCTACAGTGGAAACACCACAAATGAAGAAGACTTTTTGAGTGGGGTAACAATCGATTTTTTGTTCGAGTACATGGATGATGATGAATTCAAACTGCAATGCGATGATGCATTGGTTGAAGATCCTCAACAGGTGAAACATAGAACATTTTTTAACATTTATTACGTTTTCATTTTCAATAGGCCTATTTACATACATCCATGAGACTGGATGTTTAGTTTCCAAAGATAATATTTGGAATGCCTCTCTGGCTTGTTTATCATATTAATTATATTTTGTACTTGAAATGTATTTAGATTGTTTTGAAACAGAGTTGTCAAAATGTTTAAATCTATCATCAATTGCAAGTCCAAGCCAGTCAGCCGCTGGAGACTTTAGGCCTCGGGTAGACGTTTTTTACGAGTACGAACAAACTGTATCTATTTCCCCCAATAAATACCCAGAGATTTATTCATTTTTTGAAACGCTAGATATATGCAATGTTTCTAATAAAGACCACCCTATGAACAGGTGGGTATTTATTGGAAGAGATACAACACTTCGTGCCTGAAACTGTTTTCTGTTATCACCTATTTTCTTTTAAATAAAAGTATATTTTTATCTAATTTGAAATTTAAAATAAATATTTTTGTCAATAGTCTAAACTGCCAATCTTTTTTTCTTGGCAGACATAAAAAACTCAAAGTTTATGTTGTTCCCACTGTGGAAAAAGTTATAAAAGCAAAGGAGGGCTGAAAAAACATCAGGATCTGAAACACACTGAAATAACAGGAACAGAGACTGAAGGAGATACCATAAGTTTAGATAGTGTGACAATTAAATCTTTTATTGAAGAAGCAAAAGAAGATATAAGCAAAGATGAGTGTTTTCCTGACGAAATCCGCAGTATTGCAGTTGCTTATGTTACAGAAGATGTGAACAATTCCTTGAAAGAAGAAATTCTGAAAATTTATCAGTCCTTGAAAAGAAATGGAGATGCAGAAAAATTCTATTCTGCATTTTATTCTCTTATTGTCAAAAATGCCAAAAAATATTTCAGCCAGTTGGAAATGCCTGTGTGCACTATTCTTGCATCACAACTTGCTGATAAAATATTAGCATTCTATAAGAAACCTGTTCAGCAACCTGTTGTGGTCAAGCCAATTTCAGAACGTGAATTTGATGGGCTGCAATACCTAGCTGGCTATGTAATTCACTCACTGGTCAGAAAATATAACAGAAAAACTGATTCTAAATCTGAAGCTGTCCAGGGTGTGCTTTTATTGCTGAATTCCTGCCGGAGTGATGATATTAGCACTCAGAGATTGATCCAATGCCAATCTAGAGGTGGTTTATGGGGAGTTAAAAGAGAAGTTATAGAGTTATTCAAACTTGTCGAAGAAGAATTTAGAAGAGAAACACAGAGCCATGTGGTGTCCATTAACTGCCAAGAAATAACACAAAAATTAATGAAGCACATTGACATAACAAGTTTGTTCAATACTATCAAAGAGTATGATGCACACACCTTGGAAAAGGAGACAAGTTTAAGCCTACTGGAGAATATGATCAAATTATACCTACGAGTGAGAGCCTTTTCTATAACAAAAACAAAAACACAACTGGAGAGAAAACGAGTAAAAGGATTACGCAAAGGTATAAAGAAGTCATCAGACAAAGATATTACAGGTGTTTAACAAAGTGCAAAGATAAATCAAGTTACTTTTTTCCCACAGCAAACAGACAGATAAATAAAATTACCTGCTTTCCCAACACACACAATTATATGTATCTGTGTAAATGCTTTTATGGTTCTTATTTATAAATTAGTCTATGTATCACAAATACATGATATCTTTTTTATGTTCAAAACCTTCCCTGAATTGTATTCCAAAATAAGTTGTTACTACTATATTTCCAGTCACTAGATCATAGAATTGGCATTAATAAAATAATTCA